CGGCGGGCGGGCGGCTCTTCCCGCGCTTTTCGCTGCGCGGCGCGGCGGCGGCCGTTGGGGGGAGGGGCGGCCGCGCGCCTCGGCGCGGAACGTGGGGGGGGAAACGAGGTGGGCGCCCCCCGTGCGACCCCCCGTGCGCCCCCCCAGGCTGCTCCGTCTGCTGCAAATCGACGTGGGCGCAGCTGCGGGAGATCTGCCGGGCCGAGCGGCTGCGGTGCGCGGCGCTCGGCGTCACGCGGCGGAACCTCGGGGAGTTCGAGGTGGAATATCTGTGCGACTACAAGCGAGTCGGGGTGAGCGCGGGCGGCCCGGGATGCGGGCGCGGGGGATCCGGGGGGGGCTGGGGACCCCGCGATCGCGGGGAGCGGCGCTGTGAGCCCCAACTGGGCTGCGGGGACCCGAGCGGGTCGTGTGGGCGCTGGAGGGGCGCGGGAGCCCAAAGCCCCTCCGTCCCGGTGGGAAATCGGCGCACAGGGAGGGACGCTCAGGGCCCCCCCCGAGAACGAGTTAAAGCGGCGGCAGGAGGTGCTGCGACCTCAATTGTGCCCCAGAAAGGGCGGTACGTGACACAGGAGGGCTGCTGTGACCTCAGAGCCTCTCCAGATTGAGCTTTAGGGACCCAGGAGGGACACCGAGATCCCAGATCTGCCCCCAGAATGGCTATAGAGGTTCCAAGAGACACTCTGTGCCCTCGGATTCCCCTTCCCAAAACTGGCTTGTAGAGTCACCAGGTGCTGTGCTGCCCAATTATTCCAAAAAATGGGTTATAGGGTTTCTTGGAGGGACACTGAGACCCAAAACCCACCCCCAGAATGGATTATAGAGGCGCCAGGACGGACGTAGACCGTAGATCCCTCTAAAATTGGGTTAAAGGGACTCCAGGATTGGTGCTCTGACCCCTGATGTCCCCCTAAATTGGTCACAGAGGCACCAGGGTGGATGCTGTGACTCCCAAACCCTCCCAGATTGGTTTATAGGTACCCCGGAAGGGACACTGAGGCCTTAAGTCCTCCCCAGTGTGAGCCATGGCAGCACCAGGATTTGTAGCGTGACCCCAAATCCACACCAGAATGGGTTACAGAAATCTGGGATAGACCCTCAAAAATGGGTTGCAAGGGCTCAATGAAGGAGAATGTAAGGCCAGATTTACCCCTGCCCGCTTCCCCCCTTCTCCCAGCTGGCTCATAGGGGCCCCAGGAGGGACACTGAGACCCCAATCCCTCTATAAAATGGGAAACATGAATTGTAGGGGTCCCAGGAGGGGGAGGGGGGTGGAAGTGGCCCAAACGGGCTCCGAGTGCCTGCGCACAAAGCTGTGCCCCCCCCCTCCCTTCCCCTCCGCAGGGCGAGGAGTTCTACCTGGTGAAGTGGAGGGGGTACCCCGACAGCGCCAACAGCTGGGAGCCCCGCAAGAACCTGCGCTGCCGGGGGCTGCTGAAGCAGCTGCACCAGGACCTGGCGCGCGCCCCGGGGGGACCGGTGAGACCCGGACCCCGAGGTTTGCCCCCCCGCGCCTCCTCGTACCTGGTGCAGAAAGCGGAGCAGCGGCAGGCGCTGCGGCGCTGGGAGCAGCACCTGAACAACACGCGCAGCCACCGCGGCCGCATCGCCGTGGAGAATGAGGTGGACTTGCACGGCCCCCCCCGGGACTTCGTCTACATCAACGAGTACAAAGTGGGGGCCGGCGTCCAGCTGACGCCCGTGGCCGTGGGCTGCGAGTGCAGCGACTGCTTGGCGGAGGCTGCGGGCGGCTGCTGCCCCGGAGCCTCGCACAACAAGTTTGCCTACAACGAGGCGGGGCAGGTGCGCATCCGGGCCGGGCTGCCCATCTATGAGTGCAACTCGCGGTGCCGCTGCGGCTCCGACTGCCCCAACCGCGTGGTGCAGAAGGGCATCCGCTACGACCTCTGCATCTTCCGCACCGGCAACGGGCGCGGCTGGGGCGTCCGCACCTTGGAGCGCATCCGCAAGAACAGCTTCGTGATGGAGTACGTGGGGGAGGTGAGCGCGGGGCGGGGGGAGGTGCTGCAGTGGGTGGCCGCGGCGCTGGGGCTGCACTGCGTCACGAGCACGGAATGGTTGGGTTGGACCCCAAGGATCACGAATCTCCAGCCCCTCCTGCATGCAGGGCTGCCAACCTGCACATTTAATACCGGCCCAGGCTGCCCAGGGCCCCATCCAACCTGGCCTTGAACACCTCCAGGGATGGACGGGCATCCACAGCCTCTCTGGGCAGCTGTTCCAGCACCTCACCGCTCTCTGTGTAAAGAACTTCCCCCTGACATCCAACCTAAATCTCCCTCCCTCAACTTAAAACCATTTCCCCTCATCCTGCAGTTATCTACCCTTTCAAAGAGTTGATTTCCCTCCTGTTTGTAGGCTCCCTTTAGGTACTGAAGGCTGCAATGATTCACCCTGCAGCCTTCTCTTCTCCAGGCTGAACAAGCCCAGCTCCTTCAGCCTGTCTTCACAGGGGAGGTGCTGCAGCCCTCTGATATCTGTGGCCTCCTCTGGACCCCTCCAACAGCTGTCTTTCTTTACTGGGGACCCCAGACCCAGTCACAGTGCTGCAGATGGGGCCTCACACGGGCAGAGCAGTGAGGGGCAATTCCCTCCCTGTCCCCGCTGGCCACCCCTCTGCTGCTGGAGCCCAGGATCCCATTTGCTTTCTGAGCTGCAGGTGCACACTGCTGGCTCGTGTTCAGTTTTTCACCCACCAGGAGCCCCAGGTCCCTCTCTGCAGGGCGGCTCTCATGGGCTGCTCCTCCCAGTCTGTATCAACGCCGGGGATTCACCACCGATGGTGGTGTTGTGGTGGTGCGATGTTGATGTTGTGGTGCTGCACCCCCTGCAGATCATCACCTCGGAGGAGGCGGAGCGCCGCGGGCAGGTGTACGACCGGCAGGGCGCCACGTACCTGTTTGACCTGGACTACGTGGAGGACGTCTACACCGTGGATGCCGCGCACTACGGCAACATCTCCCACTTCGTCAACCACAGCGTGAGTGGGGGTGGATCCCCCTACCCCGACTTGGGGGGGGAGCTCCCGGGGTTGGCGGGGCTCTGTCTGACCCCTCCCCACCCCTGCAGTGCGACCCCAACCTGCAGGTCTACAACGTCTTCATTGAGAACCTGGACGAACGCCTGCCCCGCATCGCCCTCTTTGCCACCCGCCCCATCCGCGCCGGCGAGGAGCTCACCTTCGACTACAACATGCACGGTGGGCACCACAGCGTGGGCCAACCCCGCCCTGCCCCACCCTGTGACACCAGGCCCGAAGTCACGGGATCCCATGGGACGTGGGAGGCATCCCACAGCGTTATGGGGTTGATATGGGTGTATGTGGGGGTCCACGGTGCTCTGGGGTTGGCACGTGTCCTGCGATGCCCTGAGGTCTGTCCCAGCCCCACGGCACAGCCTCCCACCCCACAGGGTCTGCTCCTGCCCCACACTACTGCTGTAAGGGCTGCGGGGGGAAGCTGGAGCACATCCTTCCCTTACTGCCCTCCTTCTCCCCACAGTGGATCCGGTGGACGCAGAGAGCACCCGCATGGACTCCAACTTTGGACTGGCTGGGGGGGGCCTGAGCAGCTCCCCCCGCTCCCGGGGCCGCATTGAGTGCAAATGTGGGGCCGCTGCCTGCCGCAAGTACCTCTTCTGACCCAAATTCACACCAGGGAGTTGCAAACACACGTGTTGAACGCAGCAGGGGGTCTGTGCCATACCATGGGAGAGGGGGACAGAGAGGGGGGGTCACGTCACGCGTGCTGGCGGCGCCAGACGATGACAGTTCCGGCAGCGTCGCTGGAGGCCAGCAGGCTCTCGTCGCAGTTAAAAGCGACGGCCAGCACGGCGTGGCCGTGGCCCTGCAGGGTGTTGACCGTGGCACGGGCCGAGCGGCCCACATCAAAGAAGTGCACGCAGGCATCTTCGCTGCCCGTCACTGGGGGTGGAGAAGGGGGAGATAGAGTTGGGGGCAGCCCCGTGGTTGTGCCCCCCCCCTTACTGCCCAGTACGAACCCACGCAGGCGCCCTGGCGGAAGGACATCAGTGGGCAGAAGCAGCTGCGCAGCGGTTGCTCCCGGTGCCGCGTGGGGAAGCTGCGGCGTAGGCGCAGCCCCGGTGCTCCTGAGCCTTCCTCCTCCACCACACTGCATGGGGACAGCGTCAGCCCCACAGCCCCCACACGTCTCCCCTCCCGGCCCCTTGGGCTTCCCCAGCCCTGCTGGGACGCCCTGTCCCAGCCCCACGGGACTCCACGGACGCCTCCCCAGCCCCGCTGGGACGTCCCCCCTCCCCACAGCCAGGTCTCAGGAGGTGATTATTGCCCCCATAGTGCCCCCCTACCGGAAGAGCAGCAGGCGGTCAGGGCAGGCGTTGACCAGGAGGGAGGGATCGGGCGCCTCGCGGCTGGCCCAGGCGCGCGCTGACAGCGAGGTGATGGATCCGCCCGCCTGCACCACCACGCGGGAAGCTTTGGTCAGGCGCCCTGAGGGGTGACGCGGTGAGAAGGGCTCCGCCCCGCCCCGCCCCACGGCGCCGCCCACGGCGCCGCCCCACTTACCGGTGCCGGGGTCGCAGAGGAAGGACGAGATGGAGCCGCGGTCGTCACCAGCCCAGAGCACGCGGCCGGGGGCATCGAAGCACAGCGCCAGCACCCGGCCCGGCAGCCGCCCTGCGCCGCCGCGGGCTGCTTTTCCCGTGGAGATGTTCACCACCCGCACCATGTGCCGGGCACTGCCCACCTGTGGGACAAACCGGGTGGGATGGGATGGGGCAGCATGGGGAGGGGGTGTGGGGATGTGGGATGGGATGCTGTGATGGGGAAAATCATAGGACACAGTAAGGGGGATGGGACACAGGGACGTGATAGGCACAGGGGATGGGGACGCAGTGCTGGGTCACAGTGATGGGGACAGTGATGAGATGCAGTGAGAGGAATGGGATGAAGTGGCATGGGATGGGATGATGCGATGGGGCATGGCAATAGGAACAGCAAGGGGGATGGGACATAAGGATGTAGTGATAGACAGGATATGAAGATGCAGTGCTGGGGACAGTGATGAGATGCAGTGACAGGGGTGGAATGAGGTGATAGGACACGCTGACAGCAATGGGCCAGGGCCGGGCGAAGGTGATGGCAGCACTCACCACGGTGAGGTTGTTGTTGAGCGGCTGGAAGGCGCAGCAGAGCAGCGCGGCACCGTCGGGGTCGGGCACCCGGCGGATGCAGCGGCCGTCGTTGGGCGCCCAGAGGCGCAGCGTCCCGTCCAGCGAGGCCGACACGAGGACGTCGTTGGAAAGCGACCAGGCAAAGTCCGCCACGCCGCCGTCGTGGCCCCGCAGCACCCGCAGCACTGCCGGCGGCCCCGGCGCCAGCCGGCACACCGAGATGGTGCCGTCCAGAGAGCAGCAGGCCAGCAGGTGGCGGTCATCGTGGGCAAACTGCACCTTGGGCACTGCAAACAGCGTCAGCACCGCGCGCCCGCCAGCCCAGCGACCCCCAGACTCGCTCCCAGCGCTGCCTGTTACCGGCGCTGTCCGTGTGCTGGTCGAAGACGTGGTAGACGCCGGCGAAGGCGTAGTTCTCACTCAGCGTTGTGTCCCCGGCCATGGCGCGGCTCGCCTCCGCCAGTGGTGTGGGCACGACGCCTGGGGGGCTGTGGGGTGGCGTTGGCTCTTGGACCCCCGCTCCCACCAAGAAAACAAACCAAACCTGAGCCTCTCCTGCAGAGCTCACCGTTCATCAGTGCTTCCCCGGGGGGCTCCAGGGTGGGAACCACGGCTCAAGGACCTCCTATGGCCACGGGGTGCACGTGGGTCCTCCTCGAAGTCCTGGAGGGGAGAATCGGGGTGTGGGGGCTCCTGGGCTGCACAGATTGCCTCCAGGGGGGTCATACGGAACTCGGGATGCAACCGTGACCCCAAATGCTTCCAAAGTGGGTTATAAGGATCCAAGGAGGGACAGTGCCATCCCAGATCTCCTCAGATGGGTTACAGGGACACCGGGAAGGATGCTGGGACCTCAAAAGCCCCCCACATGAGTTACAGTGGCCCCAAAATAATGATGTGACTCCAGATCCCCCCCAAAGTGTGTTACAGACACCACAGGAGGGATGCTGTGACCCCAAATACCCCCGGATGGGCTGCAGGAACCCAGGATGGATGCTGTAACCCCACTCTCCCCCTCCCAAGCAGTTTATGGAGACCTCCGCAAAGCCAGAGACCCCAAACCCCCCCAGACGGGTTACGGGGCTCCCAGGCCGGGTGCCGTGACCACAGTGTCCCCCAGCCCCCCCATCCCCCCCGCACCTCCATACGGTCCAGCGTGGTTCTGCTCGCCCTCAGCGCGCTGCCGCTGTGCGCCCTGCAGCTGCCGGCCTCGGACAGCGCCCCGTAGCGCTGGGCCAGGAGCCGGGCCCGCAGCCGCAGGTACCACCGCCGGGTGCCGCCCTCCAGCGCTCCGCCCTGCGCGCGCTCCCGCAGCAGCTGGCTCCGGCGCCGCACGTACTGCGTGCGGAACTGCGGGCAGCGCGGGCTGCGGTAGGCCGCGTACCTGCGGGCGGGGGGCCGTCAGACCGCGCGCCGCCGCCGGGACCCCCGCTCGGAGCGCCGCCGCCCGCCCCCCTCCGGGCCTCACCGCGCGTCCACCGCCAGCACCTGCTGCCACACGGCGGCCATGGCGGCGGCGGCCGCCCCCGGGGGCTGCCCGTCCCGCTCCACCGCTGCGCAGGGCCGCCGCTCGCGGCCGCCGCCGCCGCCGCCTCAACGCCAAAATGGCGCCGCGCGTCGCCCCGGCGACGAAACGGGGGGCGGGGCTTCGCCTCCCAGCCAATAAGAGAGGGGGGCAGCGAGGGAGGCGGGGATGAGCTGCGGGCTCTGAGGTAAGCGGCGCGGCGATTGGTCCCCGCCGTCCCGTCCCTCCCAGTCGCGCTTCCTCGGCGCCCGCTGCGCCTCACTTTACGGCCTCTCACCGCTCCTCTGGCCTTTACGACAGACGGCAGCGCTTTGCGGCAGCGGGAAGCGCGGCGCGGGCGGCGGGGTCTGTGGGGCGGTGTGGGGTAACGGGGGACAATGGGGGCGGTGGGAGGAATCAGGGGGGCGATGAGGGGCCAACGGAGGCCAGTGTGAGGGAGTTGGGGGAAACAGGGAGATAATGGGGGTGGTAACGGGGGCAGTTGGGGGCCGATAGGGGTTAATTGGGGCCTATGAGGGGCAGTTTGGGTGCATTTGGAATCACTTGGGTGGCAGTGGGGCTCTTTGGGGTCACCTGGGCAGTTTTCTGGCTGGGGGTGCAGCCTTTGTCCCCCCAGCCCCGCCATGGCGCGATGCCTCTGGCCGTGAGATGGCCGTTCCCCGCAGGGCCGCCGCTCTGCAGCCGCCTGGTGCTGGGCCTGGTGGGCACCTACAGCTGCCTGTGGACCCGTGAGTGCCCCACAACCTGTGAGCCTTCCCCACAATTCCTGGGCTGGGGAACCTCACCGTGCCCCTCCTCCCCCTTAGGATACCTGAACCGCCTGCGGGTGCACAACGCCGAGGTGCTGCACGAGTTGGTGGAGCGGCGGGGGCCACACACCCCCCTCCTCACCCTGTCCAATCATCAGTCCTGCATGGATGACCCACACCTATGGGGTGCGTGGGGCTGGGGGAGGCCTCAGTAGGGGCTGGGGTGGGGGTACATGGGGTGCTGAGGAGGTTCCCATGCAGCTGGGGGGGCTGTAGGCACTAGGGTGGGGTTTTTGAGAGTGTTCGGGGAGTCCCGTGGGTCTGGGGGCATCTCATCGTCTCTGTGCCCTTTTGCCACCCCCAGGCTCTCTGAAGCTTCGCCACATTTGGAGCCTTCACAAAATGCGATGGTGAGGGGGAGATCCAGGGTGTGGTGGGGATACGTGAGGCTCCCCACTGCCCCCCTCACGCTGTGGACAACCCCAGGACCCCCACAGCCGCAGACATCTGCTTCACCCGAGAGCTGCACTCACGTTTCTTCAGCTTGGGACGCTGTGTCCCCGTGTGCCGCGGTGAGGGGTTTTACTGGGAGAAACTGGGAGGGCTCAGTTCATTCTGGGGGTGACTCTGATCTCTGCAGGGGACGGCGTCTACCAGCGTGGGATGGATTTTGTCCTGGAGAAACTCAATCAGGGAGATTGGGTGCACGTCTTCCCCGAGGGTATGGGGGGAACTGGGGGGGCTCCTGGGGGCACTGGTGTTTATGGGGAGGGTGAGACTTTCTGAAAGAGTCCCCTGCTAACATCCTCCCCGTGGTATCTTTTCCGTAGGCAAAGTAAACATGGGGCAGGAGTTCGTGCGCTTCAAGTGGGGTGAGACCCCCGTGCCGTGCCCATCACCCCCTCTGTGCCCCACATCTTCCTCTCTGTTCCTCACAGCTCCCCTCCTTCCTCACACAGGCATTGGGCGTCTCCTGGCTGAGTGCCGCCTGGACCCCATTGTCCTCCCCCTGTGGCACGGCGGTGAGTGCAGAGCCATTGGTCTGCTTTTAGTTTTTCAGGGGACAGGGATTGGGGTTTGCTATGGGGCTGGGCCCTGCTATGGGGCCAAGCCTTGCTGACAGGGCTGACCCCATTGTTCCAGGCATGAATGATGTGCTGCCCAATGCTCCCCCCTATGTGCCCCGTGTGGGAAAGGTGAGTTACCTGGGGGGAGGGGAAGGGCACAAAAAACGTTGGGGGTGTTGGTGGGGCACTGACACTGTCCCACAGCGGATCACAGTGGTTGTGGGGCAACCCTTCAGCGTCCGACCCCTCTTGGAGCGGCTGAGGGCTGAAGGCACCTCTACAGTAAGTGCATGTGGGGTTATGGGGTTGCTCTGCCCCACAGATTGTGGGGTGGGTGGGCTCTGTGAGTCCATCTCCATACTTCAATCCTGTAGGTGGAGATGCGGAAAGCACTGACAGATTTTGTGCAGCGGGAATTCGAGGCACTGAGGAGCCACGCACGGACCTTACACCCATCCACATAGCTGTGGGGCTGCCCCATGGATGGACAAACAGAGCCCCCCCTCCAAAACAGTGCACCGTGCCAATAAAGGTGGTTGAGCTCTGCACCCCCTCCCCACTGTGTCCCCTCAGTTCCACAAATGTGGGGATGCTGCTCCCAATCCCAGACTTTTATTGAAGCTCAAACTATGGGGTGAGAAAGGTGGGGAGGGGCAGACCCCCAAAATGGGGCTAAAAACCCCCAAACGGGGCCAAAGCCACACTGTGGGGCTCAGCCCCCACCTCTGTCACTCTGTAACGGAACTGCTGTCCCCCATTGGCTTGTGGGGGAGTGACCCCTCCCAAAAATAGCAAAGTCCCAAAGGATGTGGTGTGGTCCTGGAGGAAGGCTGTCCCATCACTCCTCCTTTTTGTCTCGGGGGCCGTCGTGGGCTGCCTGGTGGGGGTTGGGGGGGGGTTAAACAGAATGGTCCCTCTGTGACCCCACAGTGTTACCAGTCTATCCCAGTCCTTCTCCCACTGCCCCCCATCTATCCCAGTCCCTCTCCCAGTAACATGTTTTTCCCCGATGCCGTTTATTCTACTTTCTCTCAATGCTCTCAGACCCTTTCCTGTTATACCCTGCGACCCCAATCCCACACCAGGCATCTGCAGTCCATCCCAATGATGTCCTCGTCCCTCTCCCAGTGCTTCCAGTCCCCCCGGTACCTGCAGCCGTGCGTGCTGCTCCAGCAGCCGGTCGTACTCCCGCGTCAGCCCCTCTGCCTGCCGCCGCATGGCCTGCACCTCATTCTCCGCCTTCTCCAGAGCTGTGTGGTAGGGAGGTCACCCCATAGAGCCCCCCCTGCTCTCGCCACCCCACCCCCCCATTCTTCTTGCCCTTACTGCGCTTGCTGGCTGCCAGCTCCTCCTTCAGTTTCTCCACTTTCGCCTTCAGGCTCTCATTCTCAGCCCGGCTAGGGGGGGCTGAGTCATCTCCTGCCTCTTGCAGTTGCTGCGGGATGGGATGGAGAGAATTGGAATCCCAATAGCTGCCTTAAACGCCCCCAGGACGCCCGCAGCACCCCACACAACGCCAGCCCCCATTTTACCTTGCGCAACGCCTCGTTGTCCTCCATGTAGCGCCGTGCTGCCTGGCTCGCTCCCTCCGCCTGCTTGCGGAATGCTTGGCTGGAGGCCCCCAGCAACGCTTGCTGCGAGATCAGGGTGACCAAACGCCGCAGCAGGCTGCAAACAGGGATGTCAGCAGTGCCGTGCCACCCCCCTCAGGACCCCATTCCTTCCCCTGTACTCACAAGGAGAGCAGCAGCGCAAAGCCGGCCAAGTAGAGGTTGCGTTGGGCACGGAACAGCCGCATGTGGAAGTGCTCCAAAGCCCCCGGGGTGGTGGGGAGTGCTGCCCGCTCAGAGGCATTGTACTTACGGGTCTCCCTATAGGCATCTGGAGGGTGCGGGATTATGGGATGTTAGAGCTTACAGCGGGGTTATGGAGACCCTACAAACAGTGGGATGGGGTTCCCGGCATCATGGGGGGAGGGGGGAGTCCTAATGGAGCTGTGGGGATCCCCATGGCTTTTGGGCAGTGCCACCCACCCTGGGGGGATTGGAGTTATGTGGGGACTCTGGGGATTATAAGGGCTCGGGGCTTCATAGCGGTCATAGGAGCACATGGAGGCACATAGAAGGGTTATGAAAAGGTTACGGGGGTTTATGGAGAAGTTACGGGGCTGTGGAGCCGCACCCAGCAGCAGCAGCACCAGGATGACGATGAGCACCACGAAGGCCGTGTTGCCGTAGGCCACCGCCAGCCCCACCAGCCGCGACTTGAAGATCTTCTGCCATCTTTTTTTTTTGGGGGGGGGGGGGTTAAGGGGACTCCCGGCTGCAGGGAGAACCCCAACCCCAAACCGCTCACCTGGTGGGGGACACGAAGGGGACGCAGAGCAGGAGGACGAGGAAGACCTCCGCGTAGAGGAAGGTGGCGACCACCGTCCACTGCAGACTCATGGCGGCCTGGGGAGGGGCAGCGTGAATAGGAGCCCCCCGGCACCCCAATAATTCCCCTAAGGGACACCAACAGGGCTCCCCAGGGCCAACATGACTCCCCTAGGAAGCCCCAGGGCTCCCCTAATTCCCTTCAGGCCCCCATATCCGCCTCAGGACCCCCACGGCGCTCTCTAACCGCCCTCCTCCTCCACCCCCACCCCTCCCGGCCCCCCTCGCACCGCAGCAGCCGCTTCCCCGCCGCCGCCCTCGGACGGAAAAAGGAAGCGGCCCGCCGGAAGTGCCCGCCCACGGCAGGGCTGGCGACCAATCAGCGCAGTGCCGTGGGTGCCGCTTCAGCGCCGCGCGTTTCTCTTCTGCCCCCTGCAGAAGAGTCCCCCTGGGTTAGCCCTGCCTTTCCACTAAGTGCTCAAGCACTGCTTGTACAACCAATGAATACACAGATGTTACAATACGAAATAAACAAGAGAGTTTGGATAAGCATGCTATTACACTAAAAAGAGAATAAATAAGAGTACTTACCCTTGTCTTGGGCTCACTGTAAAACTCCAAAGGAGAGATTTCCAGAAGAGACCCTTCTGATGGCAGTCAGCTCTTAAATGGGTCTGGGGGAGGTGCAGCCAGGCTCCACCCCTTCCAGCAGCGCAGAATTGCCTTCACCTGTGCTCCCAGTGCTGAGTCATTGCTCGCCTCAGGTGTTCAATCAGAGGTTCAGGCTGCGATTCAGCAGTTCCCATACACCATTTCCCCCGTGTCTCTGTGTCCCCTGTGTCCCCATGTCCCACCACGTCCCCATGACCTCATCATGGTGTGGGTGCGCAGCACGTGGCACAGCAGTGCCCCCGTCCCTGTTCCTGCTGTCTGCTGGGAATTGTGTTGGTTCCTGTATGGGAATTGTGAGGTCACAGCCTGAAGCGGTGATGGAGCACCTGGTGAGGGGTGTAGCCCTGCCAGCACAGGTGGAAGCAATTCACCCGTGGGACCAGGTGGGGCTGAGCCTGGCTCCACCCCTCCCTGACCGCATTTAAGGGCTGGCAGCCACAGAGGCAGCATCTCGTCTTGGAGCCTGCCTCCTCAGGAGCATTGGGTGAGCCTCTGGAGTGGGGTGAGTGGTTCCTTTTGTGTTTTAGCTTTCTGCCTTTTTGGGGGATCCTAACAGCATTTAAGGGCTGGCAGCCATAATGATGCTTTTACTCCTTGGAGGCTGCCTCCCTGGGAGTGTGGGGTGAGTGTTTCCTTTGTTATTTCAGAGCTTTGTGTTTTCTGGGGGACCCTGATTATGTCTAAGGACTGGCGGCTACAGGAGCAGCATCTGTGCCAGCTCACCTCAGAGCCTTCACTTCTCCAGGCTGAACAGCCCCAGCTCTCTGTTTTCTTAGGAGAGGTGTTCCATCCCTTGGCTCATATTTGTCTGTCCTCTGGATGTGCTCCAACAGCTCCATGTCTCTCCTGTGTCAAGCATTCTGCATGTTGACACAGTGCTCCAGGTGAGGCCTCAGAGCAGAGGGGTGGGGGTTGTCTCCCTTCACCTGCTGACCACACATCTTTGGATGCAGCCCAGGATACGGTTGGTTTTCTGGGCTGGGAGGGAGCACTGCTGACTCCTGTCCAGCTGCCACCTGCCATTACCCCACAGCTCTTACAGGGCGGGACTATGCTCACTCCTTTCTTTTGTTTTTGTTTTCAATCTTTGTTGGTTGATGCTCGGTTGAACAGGAGCTGACAGTGTGTCCAGGTGTCCAAGAGGGCCAATGCTATCCTGGCCTGCATTAGCAATAGCGTGGCCAGCAGGAGCAGGGAGGTAATCGTCCCCTGTACTCAGCTCTGGTGAGGCTGCACCTGGACTACTGCGTTCAGTTTTGGGCTCCTCTCTACAAGAAAGACACTGAGGCCCTGGAACGTGCCCAGAGAAGGGCAACAAAAGTGGTGAGGGGTCTGAGCACGAGTCATATGAGGAGCAGCTGAGGGAGCTGGGATTGTTTAGGCTGGAGAAGAGGCAGCCCAGGGGAGACTTCATTGTGCTCTACAGTGTCCTGAAGGGAGGTTGTGATGAGGAGGGTTTTGGCCTCTTCTCTGAGGTAACAAACAGGACCCAGGAAACAGCCACAAGTTGTGCCAGAGGAGATTTAGATTAGGCATATGGAAAAGCTTTTTCTCTCAGAGCGGTCAGGCACTAGAATGCCTGGTTTAGTAGCTTGTGGTAGCCATGGTGATGGGAGGATGGTTGGACTGGATGATCTTGTTTGGAAGGGACCTACCTGTGATTTTATGATATTCACTCCCCAGCATGTTTTGGTTATGGGCAAGTTCCCTCATCCCAGCTGCACTTGGACTTGCTGAACCAAATTTTGTTGAACAAAATTTGTTGATTTGCAGCCAGTTCTTCATCCATGGAGCAGTCCACCCATCAAATCCATCTCTTTCCAATTTAGAGAGAAGGATAGTGCAGGGTACTATGTTAGAGGCCTTGCTGAAGTCCAGATAGATGACGTCAGTGGCTCTTCCCTTGCCTATCAATGCAGTGACACAAATGGTCACCAAGTTGGTCAAGCAGGATTTGCCCTTGGTGAAGCCCTGCCGGTTTTTCTATATCACCTCCTGCCTTCCATGTGCCCTAGGGTCACTTCCAGGAGGATCTGCTCTGCAATCGTTTCTAGCACAGAGGTGAGACTGACGAGTCTGTAGTTCCTAGGGTCATACTTTCTATCCATAATAATGGGTGTGCTGTCACCTTTTTTCTGCTCGCCAGGCACCTCACCAGATTGCCACGACTTCTCAAACACCATTGAGAGTGGCCCGGTGACTACACCAGCAAATTTCCTCAGGGCTCCGGGATGCATCTCATCAGGACCTGTATACTCCTGGATTTCAGGTCCTCAGGTGGTCCAGAACCCGATCTTCACTCAAATGTGGGGCAAGGAGGGGGGGGTGCCATTTCTTCTTCAATCCCCACCTACCAACCCAAAGGTGAGGGCTGTTATGAGCAGTTATCAGAGAAGGTGGAAGCAAAAATATTGGGTATCTGAGCCTTCTCCTTGTCCGTTGTTCCCAGCTACAGTGCTGCTGTTAAGAGCAGTGTTAACAGTGTGCAGCCCTGCACATGTGGGACAGCACCTTCATTATTGTGTTGTGTCCAACAGGTGCCAGCAAGAGAGGTGCG